AGAGCACCTTTCAGCCCGAGGGATAACCCTGAACACTTTGTGGAGACCAGCAATCCCAAGCAGAGGCTGCAGCTTCTCCTGGACCACCAGGTCCCTCCTCTCTGGGGGGCCACCAGTGGTCCGTGCGCTGCTGCCTGGGGATCCCAAGTATCAGGTCCCTGCTGAAGCACCCCAGCATGCCCACGGGAAGCCAAATAACATCAAAACGACCCAAAGAGGTGGCTTTTCCCCTCCAGACCAACCATCTGAAGCAGGTTCAGGAGATAGCCTGCTCCCCGGCGGCAGGGCAGGGAGCTGAGCAGCATGCACTTGTCAATCTGAAGGCAGCTCTCCACAGGCAACATCCCCATCACAAAAGCCACCACTATAATTAGCCTTACTTGGCGCCCAGTCAGCCTTTATGTTTCCTTCCCACCCCTCCAAAAAAAACAAGCAAAGGCATCTTTGCTGCCGGGTGATGGAGCGGCGCGGTGCCGAGAGCCAGGAGAGAGGTCACAGGGACCCTCACTTGCTCTTTCTGCGTAAACAAGGTTGCCCTCCTCGTGTAGAAGTGCTCTCCTCCTCCTGCCCCCATGGCCCTGGCTTGGGCAGCCCAGCCCTGACGCAGAAATAGAGAGGGGGTGAACTCCAAAGGAGAAAAAGCCTATAGCCGGAGCCACTCTCTTCCTCCCCCTGCCCTTCACCGTGCCCGTGGGGCAGGGATGGCAGCTCCCCATCCACCAGCATCATCCCACAGGAGCCAGGGAGAGGATGGACACACACAGCAAATGGAAGAAAAGGTGCATTTGTCGCAGATTTGGGAACCTTTATCTCAGGAGCAATTACATACATGGATGGAAAGAGTTACAGGCACTGGAGGTGACAAGGAGCCAGGGCTGGTTCTACAAAACCTCTGTGCAAACCTGGTTGCCTGTTACCAGCACAGGAGCTGACCCTAGAGAAACCATTCTTTTATGTTAAAAGAAAGTGAGATGAAGACTCAGATGGAGATGATAAATTTGATATTTTTCTAAAGACGTTTTTGAGACGCCGATTTCAGTAACTCCCTGAGAGCGGGCAAACAACTTAGGAGAAATGCCATGAAGGTTTAGCGTTGACTTTCTTAATGTCTCTGCCTACAGCGAGATCTAGCCAACATGGAAGAAAGCTCCTTTAATTAAATCCGAAAGGGCTGTATAATCTAGAGTAATACCTTCAGCCTTTTGTGTCACTGATACGGGGTTGCCTTTGGGTAAATCCATTGGTACGGAGCTCACGTGCTGTCCCCATCACAGACTTTTCCTGTGGTCCTTCACACCCGTGTTGAGCAGATCCCCCCTCTCCCTTTGCTTCTCTGTGGCCTGCTCACAGCGAGCCGAGAAGGTCCTTCCCTGATGCCACCACGTAGGTCACACGCAATAGGTATGTAGTGACATAGGTATGGATTCCAGTGACAGAGCCCTGGAAGAGGCTGCCCAGAGAGGTGGTGGAGTCTCCTTCTCTGGAGACATTCAAACCCACCTGGACACATTCCTGTGCAACCTGCTCTGGGTGACCCTGCTCTGGCAGGGGGTTGGACTAGATGATCTCCAGAGGTCCCTTCCAACCCCCTGTGATTCTGTGACATACATACATACAAAATCTCCTCTCTGAAGTCCTCCTGGTTTTAAATTTGGTTCTAAAAGCAAACTTGTTCTGAGCCACAAGTCCCAGCTCCAATGTGAATACGGGCCACACTTCACAACCAGTTGTAATCTAGGTGTCCACTCCATCTCTAAGGCCAGCCAAGCACCCTGTGATGTGCCCAGTGGCTCAGATCAACCTCATAACTGCTGCCCTGGTGTGCTTCAGGATGGGGCATGAATTTTGAGGTTTCCCTGAGCCTTGTACCTCGTGTTGTCATTTACACCTATGGAACCAGCTGTAAAATACTCCCCTTTGCTTTTCCCATCCCCACTCCAGTTTGCACAGATGAAAGCAAGGCAAGATGTGCAAAAAAGAGTCCCAAAGCAAGCGGGACCCTGCACGGGAGGACACTGTCCTTCAGTTACAGCAAGGCAGGAGTCTGAATTCCTCCTTAAATCTGGTCCAGTACAGAGTCAAGCCCTAGAAGAGAGGAAATTGTGCTTGACAGATGCAATCATATGCAAATGGCTGTAGAAGAGGGGAAATTATCATCTACAAACATTGGGCAGAAATTCCATCTGCCGCCGCCTCAAGAAGGGCTCTTAATAAATTCTGAGACAGCAAAGTGACACACATCTTAATCAAGACTTAATCCATGGAATTAATTCACTGCGCGTTTCTGCATAATTCCGGGAGTAATGCTAAAAGCCACGGCAATATCAGCAGCAGATGGACTCCCCCTACTCCATGCGAAGGTATTAAAGAAAACACAGCCCCTGTCACATCACTTCGTGTAGGTACACACGGCAGAAAGCAACAGGGCTGTGCCAGGAGCTCGCAGAGCCAGCGGACAGCAAAGGTCAGGCTGGCAGCGAGGTGGAAATGGAAACCAGCCTCACGGCAAAAGACAGAACCCCGGCCACTTCTTTCCCACAGGAGAGGAGAAGCTTGGAGTGAGGCACGAGGTCTGGGAAACCAGCACCAGGTCTGGGAAACCAGCACCAGGTCCCTCTGTTGGATGTTGCTTTGGGGAGCACTGATTGAGGCCAGCATGGGAATCACAGAATCACAGAATTGTAGTGGTTGGAAGGGACCTCAGAGATCATCGAGTCCAACCACAAAAAAAAAAAAACAAAAAAAACCAAAAAAAACCCACCAGCACCCAGCACCTAAACACACAACAACAACCACCAAACCAAAAACCATCACCCACCCACACAGTACCCCACCACAAACCAGTAATCTTGGGCACTAGAGCATGCCCTGAAGAACCATGTCTACACGTTTCTTAAATACCTCCAGGGATGGTGACTCCACCACCTCCCTGGGCAGCCCATTCCAATGCTGGATAACCCTTTCAGTAAAGAAATGTTTCCTAATATCCAACCTGAACTTCCCCTGGCGCAACTTGAAGCCATTACCCCTTGTCCTATCCTTGGAAGGAGAGACCGAAAATAGATTCGTCAGCACCCAGGAGAAGCTGGGGATGGAGGTCAAGGGAAAGGAAGAGCGAGGGGAAACTGCTGGGGGTTTTGCAGGGGAGATTCTGCTGCAGAAAAGCAGGTGGAGAACCCTTCAGAAGGGCTGCCTGCCCTCTGGCCACGGCCTGGGAAGCACGCTGCAGGTGCGGGGGTCAGCCTTGCCAAGGGCCCCCGCTCAAATTGGCAGGAGGTTTTGAGACAGCTCTGAAAATACATTCTTAGTCACTGTCATCCACCTCCAAAGGAGGTGCAACAGCTACGTGATTAATCTCTTGTTTACATGTCTCAACGCTAGCGCAGTCCAGGCGAAATACTGCCTTCAGTGGGCTCCCTCCCCGACACATGTGGGTTGGAGGGGCTGGGGCCAGAATCCAGTCTTCACAACTGTCCCAAACACCTGGTCCTAACCCTCCTAAACCCAGGGGTCCTAGATCCTGGCATGGTGCATCAGCTGCCGTTAGGTTTTAGAGTGAGAAGCTCCCGAGCTGGGAAGGTGAGGTACTAACTGGGGTGACTGGAGCTTCAGGAGCTGCTGTGGTCTCCTCAAAGAGGTCCAGCCTTTGGAAACCATTACACCCACACTGGTGGCAGTGCATCATCCTGAATACAACAGGGTTATGATCCAAAACTCAGATTAAGGGCTAACACAGGGCCAGCCCACCTTTCCAAATCGGTGTGGCTGGGTTTGTAGCCCTTACTGCTTCATGCCTGCCTCTTCGTGAGTGCCCAGTGCGGTCCAGAACAAAGTGGTGCTCTCAGCCAAGGTCTTCTGGGCAACACAGGAGAAGGGTGGTGAGGCACTGGAAGAGGTTGCCCCGAGAAGCTGTGGCTGCCCCATCCCTGGAGGGGTTCAAGGCCAGGCTGGATGGGGCTTTGAGCAACCTGGTGTGGTGGGAGGTGTCCCTGCCCAGGGCAGGGGGGTTGGAACTCAATGGTCTTTAAGGTCCCTTCCAACCCAAACCATTCTATGATTCTAGGGTGCGGAGACCCCAGGAAGAGCATGATGAGAATAATTGATCCTGGGACAGAGAGGTGTGGAAAGAGGCAGTAGAGGAGTCCCAGTGGTGCCTGTGGGTGCAGGGAGCAGCACCACCAGCTTCCCAGCTGGGATGCTTTCAGGGCTCACAGGGGCACAGGACGGTCACTTGAGGAGACCCGGGGAGCCTTCAGCCAGGATGACCTGAGGCTGGAAGTGAGCTGCTGCTGCAGCCAGGATCACTCACCACCAGGCACCCAAGGGTGTGTAACGCGATTCCCATGTTAATTCAGGCTCCAGAGATCCTTATGTGCCCTAAAGGACTCCACTGGCCCTGCCTGGGTCCCTGCTCCTGGCAGCAGCTCTGCAGGCAGACATGCCTTCCCACCATGCACAAGAGTGCTTTTCCTTTGGGAAGTGTGCGTGTACGTCCACGTTAGTGCTCTCTGGGAAGCTCTCCTTGGGCTTGACCAGTTTGTGGAGAAGAGGAGGGAAGCTGGGCAGGGAGGATGGGAGAGGCGGGATGTCTGGAGAAGGTGCTAACAGCCCTTGGCTGGCCCAGAACCACTTCCTCAGATCTCCGTTACACAGCATGCTCCTGGCGTTGCTATTTCAGTCTGAATGTCACCTATAAATTGGAGGCTCTTTCTCTGAAGGCCGCAAATAGAAGTGTCACTAGATGATCTTTGATTTATAGGGAAGCTCAGCAGAAAGCCTGGCATGTCCATTTTCCAGCCAGGAAACTCAAAAGGGGTCCAAGGATCACACAGGGATCCTTTGCTTTTCCTAGACCTTTCCTCAAGGGTTGGCAAGCCCTTCCTAGAGGGGGCGGGAAGAGGTCACACAGGCAGATTCATCTCCCTAATCACCCTCTGCCTGTTGCTTTTTCAGATTCCTCCTCCCCCGACACCCATCCCTGCCCCATGGATTTCAACCTGCTGGCGGACACGGAGGCTCGCAGCCCAGCCTTGTCTCTCTCGGACTCTGGGACCCCTCAACACGAACACAGCTGCAAAGGGCAGGACCACAGCGGTGAGTGCAAGAGAAACCCCCCCATCCCATCCTTGTGGGTGGCTCCAGGTGGCCAGTGGCTCTCAGGAGCCAGCTGTGGTCCTCCTGGGGACACGCTGAGCTTCCTCTCATACCACGAGCCAGCACTGTGTCGCGGTGGCATGGCCATCCCGGCAAGTAGGGGGAAAGCAGAGGGGATCCATCTTGCAATGACAGCCATGGGGAGGGTGAGAGCATCATCCTAATGATGGAGATGCCTGGCCCTGGCTACAGGAAGCCACAGCCCATGGCAGGCAGGAGTCAGGCAAGCCGGGTCACTGCCCAAGCAAGATTTTAGTGTATTTGCCTACACCAGGTCCCCAGAGCAGGAGAGCTCTCCCCACAACGTGGGAAATCTCATCCAAGGCACAGAAGGCTACACCTGGTTATAAACTGTCCTGTCCCCCTCTTTTTTTTTTAAACTCCATTTAAATTGTTTAACTTGAAACTTTCCTACGGGTTAACCTTGGACTGAACTGGGAGAGAAACACCGTCTTGCCCTTGGCTTTAACTGAAAAAGCCTGCAAGGCTCTGCACTGGGCTGCTCCTGTCCCAAGGAGATGCCTCTGACCATTCCCAAAGGCTGGAGAAACCCCAGGCCGACCACGTTCTTTGTCAAGCTCTGAAGAAGAAACCACCACCATCCACACCTGCTCAGACATCAGCTACCAAATGCCACAGCTTCCCCTGGATTTTGCATCTGTCCTGTGACTGCTCCATCCCTCCTTGCTCTGGACGTGGCAGAACAGTGGAAAACTGTCCCTGCCAGTGCAAGGAGGGACAAGGGCTGGGGACCTGCCAGCATAAAGGCTTCAGGCTCACCCACCTGCAAAAGCTAATAAGGCCAGTGCAAGGAGGGACAAGGGCTGGGGACAGCCTGCGTAAGGGCTTCAGGCTCACCCGCCTGCCAATGCTAATAAGCAGAATCATAGAATGGTTAGAGTTAGAAGGGACCTTAAAGATCATCCAGTTCCAACCCCCTGCCCTGGGCAGGGACACCTCCCACCAGACCAGGTTGCTCAAAGCCCCATCCAGCCTGGCCTTGAACCCCTCCAGGGATGGGGCAGCCAGGGTTCTCTGGGCAACCTGTGCCAGGCTCTCACCACCCTCACAGCAAAGAATCTCTGGTATCTAATCTAAATCTCCCCTCTTCCAATTTAAAACCATTATCCCTTGTCCTGTCACTCCACTTCCCGACAAAGAGTCCCTCCCCAGCTCTCCTGTAGCCCCTTCAGATATTGGAAGGCTGTTATAAGGTCTTCCCGGAGCCTTCTCTTCTCCAGGCTGAACCACCCCAGCTCTCTCAGCCTGTCTTCACAGCAGAGGTGCTCCATCCCTCTTGAGCATCTTCGTGGCCCTCTGCTGGACCCGTTCCAACAGGTCCATGTCCATAATGATGCTGATTAGAATTCCTCAGAGCAAGCTTCGTACAGGGAGTGACGCCCATCTTCGTGGCCTCCGCTGGACCTGTTCCAACGGGTCCATGTCCATAATGATGCAGAATAGAATTCCCCAGAGCGAGCATCGTACAGGGAGTGACGCAGGGATAACTTTGGTCAGAGAATCCACCCGCCCCGTCCCCCCCTACCTTAGTTGGGCACATCCCCAAGCCCAGCGGCTCCTTGTCAGCTGCTTCGGATGCACGGCGGTCGTCTCCATTCAAGTGGCCTTCCCCCTCGAGCCCACCCTGGCACGCTGCACGACTGCCAATTTAGGAGCTGACTTTTTTTTCCATTAGGCGTGAGCAGCTAATTCCAGCTATGACCGCAGCCCTTTCATTGAGTGGGCGAACGTGCATGAGATATATTCCACCACCTATTTTGGGAGGACAATAAAGGCCGGGTGCCTGGCTACGTCACTCTCCCTGGCTGGAAATAAAGTGTTTCTGGGAGGCGGGTGTTGTCACCAGCCCTACCTGCACGCAGAGGGTGGCAGCTTCTGCAGTCACAGCTGATGGCAGCCCCGTGTCACCAGTGTCAGGCAGAGCAGAGCGGACCACCAAGGGTTGCCCAGGATGGGATAGGGCTGTGCTTCTGGCACTTCGTCCCTCTCCTCAAAGGAGCAGCTCCTCTTCTGCTTCCATCATCCCCAGACCAAGAGATCCCGAGGACAGGGAACTGGTGGAAAGAGTCTAGCAGAGGGCTATGAAGATGATCAAGGGAATGAAACACCTCTCCAATGAGGAAAGGCTGAGAGACCTGGGTCTGCTTAGCCTGGAGAAGAGCAAGAGGGGACCTCATCAATGCTTATAGACATCTGAAGGGCAGATGACAAGAGGATGAGGTCAGGCTCTTCTCAGTGGTGCCCGGTGACAGGACAAGGGGCAACAGGCACAAGCTGGAACACAGGAAATTCCATCTGAACATACAGAAAAACTTACCTTTGAGGGTGGCAGAGCCCTGGAAGAGGCTGCCCAGAGAGGGGGTGGAGTCTCCTTCTCTGGAGACATTAAAACCCATGTGGATGGGTTCCTGTCCAGCCTGCTCCAGGTGACCCTGCTATGGCAGAGTTGGACTAGATGATCTCTGAAGGTCCCTTCCAGCCCCTGCAACTCTGTGATTCTGTGAAAGGAACACAAACATTGCTTGACTGGGCTCAGCTGTTGGAGAATCTCCAGTGCTCCACGATGGTGTGTTGAGGTTGGTGACACTCCCTTCTGTTGGGTTTCATCAGGCAGCACAAGTCAGAGGCAGAGCACAGATGAAGAGGCAGGAGGTGAGGAACTGCCCTGCATCTCCCCATGTTCTGCTCCTTAGCATGGATTCAGGGAACCCACAAAGTCCGTTCTTCTGCGGGTCCCTTGTTTCTCTGTATTTCCATGTTTTTGGTCCCCACTGCAACAGCCATTTACAGAGGACACTTTTTCCCTGCCTAGTGAAGAAGCAGAAACAGAGATGACATCCCCTATAAGCAACGCTCAGGAAGAACCACAGGTAGCAGGTACAGGAACGCAGAGGAAAATAAGAGAAACATGCAGCTGCAGAGATTTTTCCAGGCTCAAAGTCAGGATTCCTACTTCTCCTTGGGCTTCACGAGATTTGTAGGAAGTTCTACACCAGAAGATGAATATCAAAGCAAGATACTTGGTGAGCTCTTCCACCCAGATGCAGCCCATGAGCCAGTGGTACCTTTGCTCCATTCTCCTTCCCTCTTGATCATTTCTTCCTGCGTGAAGAAGGGCAGTCCTGAGGAGGAGCTCCTGATTGGGACACAGCCTCCTGCTTCACAACAGCCCCTTTGGAAACCCACATTTGTCGGGGGCTCCTGTGGGAACATTTCCCCCATATGCATCAGGCTCTTAATTAACCCAGACTTAGCAGATGAACAAACAAATCAAATGTCCCTTCACCTGAGCCAATGCTAATAACCAGCTCAGACGCGGTGGTGGAGGCATCACTCACCTGTTTTAGAGGTGGATAATGTGGGAATCTCCCTCTTAGAGCACTGAGATAGAGAAATCAGCTTCACCTCCTTGGCAAGAACCACTACAAAAAAAGATCCACATGAAGAACATCCTTCCAAGAGTTCTGCTGAATGTGGGATCCCTGCATGAAAGATACTCATGGGAACAAGGAGAGTGCCACCAGACCACAGCCAGCTCCTGCTGTTCCACTTTTCAGGTCCTGTGGCTTTGTCTGTTTCCAGAGTGCACCGGGAAAGATCTCGTGTGGGTACACCCTGGATGGAAACACCAGCTGGTCCTGTCACTGGGAATGGGAGACACCACCTTCCTGCTCAACTTGAGCCCTGTTGTGAGCAATAACCAGTTCTCTCACCTTCCATCCGCTTTCCTGCTGGTGGATGGGATTAAACGTGGCACAGAAGTGGAGGCAGCTGATGGAGAACCCACATCGCTTCAGTCAATGCAACGAATCCCCACAGAAGCAAACTTATTCTGGTGGCACCCAGGCTTTCCTCCACGAGGAGCAAGTGCCTCTCCTGCAAATGCTCTCCATGACTCCAGTGTTGCTCCCTTTGGAGAAAAGCAGGTGCAAGGAGCTTTTATGGAGCATTTTTTTTTCCACATCCAACTGACTTGAGGAACCCTTTTTTTCCTCCTGTCCACTTGGAGAAAAGCAGGTGCAAGGAGCTTTTATGGGGCATTTTTTTTTTCCACATCCATCTGACTTAAGGAACCCTTTTTTTCCTCTTGTCCACTCGATTCCAGGTTACTTTTTTCTTGCCTCCCTGCTTTTTCAGAGCTGTAAAACTTCCGTGTTAGGGTTTTTCTGGACTTTGAAGCCTTTTAAGCCAGCTTCCACTTAAACCACAACCAAACAACAAATCCTTTAAAAAAACCACTCTGAAAGGAACCCTTTTTTTCCTCTTGTCCACTCGATTCCAGGTTACTTTTTTCTTGCCTCCCTGCTTTTTCAGAGCTGTAAAACTTCCGTGTTAGGGTTTTTCTGGACTTTGAAGCCTTTTAAGCCAGCTTCCACTTAAAAACACACAACCAAACAAAAAAATCCTTCAAAAAAAACAACTCTGCTGAATCTCAGCAGAGTGATGCCAGGATTTTTTCCAGAGGTTCTTCTCCCAGATGCAGCAGTTTGGCAACTGCAATAATTTATACTTAGTTTAGTTGAGAATTTCCCACTGTAAAAGACCACCTCCCCTCCCTGCTGTAAACCTGCTTTTCAGTTGGAACTGCTTCCCCTGGCTTCTAGATCAGATGAAAGAGAGGTGAATATCAGAGATTATTTCTTTTCACAGGGATAATTTTCTTTGGTGGGGACTCGGCTTGGTTCCCAGCAGAATTAAAAAGTAGTTGTCCTCCTAGGATTGCCCGAGGGCGTTTGGCAACTGCAATAATTTATACTTAGTTAAGAATTTCCCATCAAATGTGACATTTTCTTTTGACAATGGGAGATATTTATGTTTGCATTCTGCCCCTGTTATGCAGAGCACCGACAGCCCCAGGAGAGCCAGAGGCACAGGGAAGGACCTGGCTGGCCACCTCCAGCCATGGCAGCTTGAAGCTCAGCATTAAGGTCTGGGGTTGATGCCCAGGAGGAGGCTGAGCTGTACTTTTCAGTTAGATACCAGTGTGAACACTGGAGAATTTCAATATGTTCATTTAAGGGGCAATGAAATGAAAGATGCTGCCTCTAGGAGAGGGATCTCGTAGCAAGGAGAGCAGGGGCTAATGGACAGGGAGATGTTGGAGTACTCCACGGTAAGTTCTAAGAGAAGCTTTTTCTTACTTTCTAAAAATAAAAATATGTGCACCTGAGTAAGAAGGTAGAGGAGTAAGAAGGGAGGAAGGATAGAAGTTGTGCTCCTCAGGTTTAGTTAATTTAAGACCCTCAACTTGCAATCAAATAGCAATTTGCTATCTCCCATCACTTGCCCGAAAAAACACTACTGGATCTTTTGCTGTGTCCTAAGTGGCAATTTCTGTTCATTTTTTCTAAATGGTGCCTCAGGCAGAGAGTTTTAAGCAGAGTAGGAAACTGCTGGCCTGGGCAGGTTCTGCCACTAGCATCCATCTTGACTGCGACAAATGAAAAGCAGAGATTGGAAGCCTGGAGAATCTAAATCCAGTCACTTGGAAGCTCATACCCCTTTACAGAAGTTAAATGATGGCAGGATGTGCTTTATCAAGGGGCTGTTGGTTTCGGTATGGGGAGATGGGCGAGGGAGGGAGATGGGCGAGGGAGGGAGATGGGACACTCCTGTGGATGCTTCTGCAGCTGCTGGTGGCCACGGCAGAGGGGGACCTTACTGAGCACGCACCGGTTACCCCAAGGACGGGCTCCCCAAACCCATCCAAGCCCCCGACTTAACTCAAGGGGATCTCTCCCATCTTTCTGTTCCTCGCACAGACACTGAGAAGTCCCAGCAAAACCAGACGGACGACTCCAACCCTGAAGACGGCTCGCTCAAGAAGAAGCAGCGGAGGCAGAGGACGCACTTCACCAGCCAGCAGCTCCAGGAGCTGGAAGCCACTTTCCAGAGAAACCGGTACCCAGACATGAGCACCAGGGAGGAGATCGCAGTCTGGACCAACCTGACAGAGGCACGAGTCCGGGTAGGTCTGCTGCCCTCCCACCTTCCCAGGCCCAAGCTTGTGGGGAGAAAGCCATCTGTGGTACAAGCCACCAAGCTGTCCCCAAACCAAGGAAGGAATTAACGAGTCCGGGTAGGTCTGCTGCCCTCCCACCTTCTCAGGCCCAAGCTTGTGGGGAGAAAGCCATCTGTGGTACAAGCCACCAAGCTGTACCAAGGAAGGAAATAGGAGACCTAGAAAATTTCCCTGGCTTGAATCATAGAATCATTCAGGTTGGAAGAGACCCTTGGGATCATCAAGTCCAACCATCTACCCTACTCTACATAGTCCTCCCCTACACCATATCCCTCAGTACCCCATCTAAACATCCCTTAAACACATCCAGGGATGGTGACTCAACCACCTCCCTGGGCAGCCTATTCCAATGCCCAACCTCACCAGGCTCTACACCCAAGATTTGACATCCAGCCACACGCATGCCCCATCCTGGTGGTGCCTTCCCCATCCAGTGCCACCTTACAATAACAGGGGGACACAAAGCCAAGGTTCGGCCCCACAGAGCCCCACCAGCTGGCTGCCATCACCCAGCAGGCCCCTTCCTTCCAGTGTCATCATCCCCCAGCCTTGGCCTTGCTGGAGGGCACACTTTGGGGTTCCCAAACCACTGTGCAGTCACAGGCGTAGCGTGGCAGGGCTCCAGCTGGAATGAGAGCTTCTCTCTGCTACTAGAAATATGAGTTAGCAGCACCATGAATAGCCTTCCAGCAGCTTCCACGCTCTAGGAAGTTATATTGTTTGAGTCCCTCCAGCAGTAACAGATTTTCCTTTTAGAAGACAGACTTCTAACAGCCCACCCCAAGCTGGTCCTGAGGTGAAGTCAAAACAAGAGAGGTTATTTCCCCCACTCAGTAGCTGTAAAACCACATCCCCAAAATACTTTGCTCCTGAGTCACACAACTCCAACGCCTCCTCCTGGGCTGTGGTCGCTTGGAAATACAGCAAGTACTTTTCTCCCTTTTCCCTTATATAAAGGGCACCTGTTTTTTTGAGTGAGGTGGGTTATGCTGTACGTTGGAAAATGGCAGTGGTTGGGTTTTGATGTAGGTGGTGATTCTTGCTGGGAGATGCAGCCCAGACATCTTACTGCAAGGCTTTCCCGATGCACAGCCTCCCAGCTCTCCGAGAGCATCCCCGTCCCTTCAACAGCTCTCGCCTTCTGGGAGAGGAGACCAGGGCAAGGTCCCTTCCAGGGACAGCCCGGAGCCATTCCCATCCCCTCCCTCTCTCTCTCTCTCATAGGTCTGGTTCAAAAACCGCAGAGCTAAGTGGAGGAAACGGGAGAGGAACCAACAGGCCGAACTGTGCAAGAACAGCTTCGGAGCCCAGTTCAACGGACTGATGCAGCCTTACGACGACATGTATTCCAGCTATTCCTACAACAACTGGGCCACCAAAGGGCTCGCCACCAGCCCGCTCTCGGCCAAGAGCTTCCCGTTCTTCAACTCCATGAACGTCAGTCCCCTCTCCTCCCAGCCCATGTTCTCCCCGCCCAACTCCATCGCCTCCATGACCATGCCTTCATCCATGGTCCCTTCTGCGGTGACGGGGGTACCGGCCTCCAGCCTCAACAACCTGGGCAACATCAACAACCTGAACAGCCCGAGCCTCAACTCCGCTGTCTCCTCCAGTGCCTGTCCTTACGCCTCTACAGCCAGCCCCTACATGTACAGGGACACGTGCAACTCCAGCCTGGCCAGCCTGAGGCTGAAGGCCAAGCAGCACGCCAACTTCACCTACCCGGCGGTGCAGACGGCGGCCTCCAACCTGAGCCCTTGCCAATATGCCGTGGACAGGCCCGTATGAAGGGCCACCCTCCGCCGACCGGGGACTTGACCTTAGCCTGACAAAAGGAGACCTTTAGCCCTACAAACAGCCTACGTCCTGCAGACAATGAGAGTGCAACACGAGAGAGCAAGAGAGAGAGAGCGAGCGGCCAGCAGGCAGATGGACCTCTATGAAGACTTGTCTAACTATCGTATGGTGAATTTTGACTGTCTTTCCCCCCCCTTCCCCCTCAAAACCCCTTCCCCTCTTGCCCACCAAACCTCCTCCTTCGTGGTAAAGAAACCAAAACAGCCTACTGGAAGCCCCATGGGGAAATAGGAGCCCCGACGTGTGGGGTTCCTTACCCCATGGGGAGCAGAACCAAGTGTGTTCCTATCTGCCCTCTCCGAGCCCCAGCAGGGTTGAGCCCCCCAAATCCCCTGGGACAGCATGGGCAGCCCTGCAGGGAACAGCCAGGGACAGGGCAACGTGGAGGGGATGCCATTCGCTAAGCAGTTCTACCTGCAGGTGTGTGAGGCTTCACTTAGAGATGTCTCACCCACTTATTTATCACACGGCCAGGAGGGAAAGCCTTGGCTCAGTCGATTGGCATCTCTTTATAAGGCATTTATACCCATGGCCCTTCAGACTTGAAGCCTTTAGGAACTGGGAGTTGTAAGGATATAAATTATGTGTGTGTATATATATAGCATATATATACAAATACATATATAGACATTAAATACGCTTTTTTTTGTTGTTGTTTTGTATGTGAAATAACCTACAAAGTAGACCTTAAACCAAAAAAACCCTGTAAAGCAAGCACATCCACCGAGGCAGCCTCCTGCCTGTCGTGCTTTACTGCTTCAGTCGTTTCCAGCCAGACAGGAACACCTTTGCCAGTGTACATCCAAAGCAGCCCCTTTCGCGACCATCAGCTCCCCCCCTCCTTGCACATCTCCTTCCCTTCCCTTCTCCAAATCCCATTTCCGCTTTACTGCTTCAGTCGTTTCCAGCCAGACAGGAACACCTTTGCCAGTGTACATCCAAAGCAGCCCCTTTCGCGACCATCAGCTCCCCCCCTCCTTGCACATCTCCTTCCCTTCCCTTCTCCAAATCCCATTTCCAAAAAAAAAAAAAAAATTTTAAAAAAAGATGATAAAATAAAATAAAAGTTGGCACAATCCCTTGAAGGCTTCTGCCTGTCTGGTTATTGGGAGCACAAAGCTGTGGTGAGGGCAAGCATCCTCGGGACCACCAGCACGAGGCAGCCTAGGTGGAAACAAGGGCTTGAGGTTTGGAGGACCCATCTCTTGTTCCTCACTGAGAAACAACCAAACGCCTGGCTCCTCAGGACAGCCAAAGCCCACAGACATGGTGTGAAGGGGAAAACAACCCCCCCTTCCTGCTCCTTCCTGCATGTCTCTCCTAGCTCAGGCTTCCCCATCACTCTGGAGCCTTTGGGGTCCTGGCAGCCCAGGACAGGGAGCCCCCCAGACACTCCTGCCCCATACAGCAGTCCCCTGGGGAGAGGTGGCTGCAGAAACCTGTCCTGCTGGCCTGTCCCTGAGCAGTGTCTTTTGGAAAAGCTGTAAAACTGAGGTGGGTCTCTCAAGATACACATGCCCCAGGGGTACCTGCTGCTTCAGCCAAAGCAGGGAGATGCAATGGGTTCCTCCAAGGCCCCAGGGAAGCTCCACGTGCAGCAGAGGAGCAGGGCATCCCCACCTGGTGCACCCTCCTTGCCCTTCATCAGGCACACGCTCCAAGGGGAAAGCACAACCCCCATGTTTTACTTTTCTCTTAGGGGAAAAGAACCCAAACACACCAAAATACATCACCACAGCAAACTATTGTACTGGGACAGGCAAACTTGTCACAAACCAGGTTTCTGCAGTGGCGTTAGCACACTGCAAGGAAACAAGCTCTTTGCTAAGAAGGGGTCCTCGCTAGGACACAGAAAGAGGTCCCTTACAAGCAAAGGATACGAGCCAAAGCCTATTCCACAGGGAGCAGCTGCTGCTGAAGGTACTGGTGAGCAGATGCTGAAAGCAGCCACAGATGTCAGCCCAACTTCACTGTCACAAAATCATTCTTTGCTCTGAGCTAATCCAAACTGAGGGAGCCAAGTTACCCTGCACTGAAACAGCTACCGCTGGAAGCACAACCCTACCTGCAACCTGTGTTCAAAGCATAAACATCTAAAATACAGGTATAAAACATACAAAACAAGACCATTCATTATAGGCTGGATCCTACCTTACCACTGGGCACCAGTGCTGCTGAGGTGGCTTCAGTGGTGAGTCTCCGTTCCACACTGGAGCCTCCATCCAGCAGCCTTCCCACCAAACACATGGCTCTTCTTCTTTAACTCCCTTCTCTGCCATGGCTCTTCCCCCTAAGGGAAGAAGGAAAAGCCTGGACTTCTTTCTAACTAATCATCTCCTCCACTGAACCTGACTCACAGCTGAGTCCAACTCCTCCCCCTGGTAACCCAAGGCAGGTGGTTCCACAATCCTCTCTTGCTCCTTGATGAAGGAGCTTAGCTCTTTGCACACCTGGTCCGTCCCCTACACCCTGTGCTGATCTGAAGCACCAGAGGGAACACAGCAAAGCCAGTACAATGATCTCTCATATAGACACAGCTTTGCCTGGAGAAGAAGTCAAAGGGAGACCCAGCTTCCCTTTTACTTGGGTGATGTGTCTATGGAGGGAAAGAAAATTCAGTGTTTTCTCTCCTTGCTGAAAAGCATCACGACACCGTCCTTGGTTGGTCTCTTACTGTTAATACAGCAGAGAATTGTTTTCTGGCTCATACCGTGACTCTCAATAGAGCCCCAAATCACAGACGAGGTGAACGTCCAAGCTCCTGCTGGAGGCAGTAAAAATTGATTAAGCATCTGATCAATGCTTATAAATACTTCAAGAGAGGGTGTCAGGAGGATGGGGCTGGTCTTTTTTCAGTGGTGCCCAGGGACAGGACAAGAGGAAATGGGCACAAACTTGAATGTAAGAAGTTCCACCGAAACATGAGGAGGAACTTCTTTGCTGTGAGGGTGGCAGAGCCCTGGCTGCCCAGAGAGGTGGTGGAGTCTCCATCTCTGGAGACATTCAAACCCACCTGGACACGTTCCTGTGCAACCTGCTCTGCGTGGACCTGCTCTGGCAGGGGGAGTTGGACTAGATGATCTCCAGAGGTCCCTTCCAACCCTATATCATTCTGGGATTCTGTAATTGGGCTCCAGCAGAGGGGTGGCTGGAAGAGGTGGATCTGATTCCTGTCTTCCTTGCCTTTTAGGACCTGATTGCAGCTTGGGGGGGCGGGGGGGAGGATGGGACCTTCATTACCACCCGCAGCATGATTAAAGCGCCGGTGGGCGGGTGACAGCAGGGGAGCTGGTGGCACCTAGCGGCTGGTGGCACCTCAGCGGCTGGTGGCACCCAGGGCAGCCTGGGGCTGGGTGCTCAGGGATGGGGCTCCCGCAGCCCGGGGAATCCAGGCTTCCTCGCTGCAGCAGGTCCCCTGCACCCCACATCCTCCCCACATCCCTCCGGCCACCCCTAAGACAAGCTGCTCCAGCCCCACAGGGGTCCCCAAAAGCATCTTCATTGGGGATGCTCCCACAGCTCCTCCTGAGCAGCGACTCCCACTCAAGAGGGGCAACTAATTGCTGTCTGCACCCTCCAAGTGAAAAAGAACCCAAACAGACAAAAAGTCAAGATACGTCCCCTCCCAGACAGGTCTGTCGGCTGTTTCAGCTCAGCAGCAACACAAAATAAAGATTTTTCTCTTCTTCACAGGGTACCAGGAGGAGTCATTTCCACAAAGCTTCAGGGAAATAGCACTGACCTGGGGAGGGAGGATGTCATTATTAGCTCCCCGAGCCCCAGCTTCCTCCCACCCACAGCTCTTCCCTCCAGACAACTTACCCAGAACTGCAGCAGCAATATAAAACACAGGAGAAATCAAAGTCTTCCCCTGCCTAGGTCTGGGCAATTTATTGTTATTTCTTGTTTAGCCAGAGAGAACAGCAGGGTGAAGGGACTGATGCTCAGCCCACAGTGTGCGTTCTCTGGGGAGGATGTAGGGCAGGGGGGGTAAGGCAAGCCCTCCTGCCAGCGTTGGGAGTACCTTCATTCTGGGAGGAGGGATGTGGCCCTTTGAAAAGCTGCATCGCCTCTTGGAGGGGGGGAGAGGGTCCCTAGAAGGTGCTCTCAGCAATCCCTCCTTAGGCTTACGTTCAGCTAACGTGAAGCTTATGCCCACATAAGTGGTGAAACACTGGCACGGGTTGCCCAGAGATGTGGTGGATGCACCAACCCTCACAACGTTCCAGGTCAGGTTGGATGGGGCTCTGAGAGACCTGATCTAATCAAAGATGCCCCTGCTCATTGCAGGGGGGTTGGGACTGGATGACCTTCAAAGGTCCCTCCCAACCCAAACTATTCTATGATAATCCCTAGATGCAAAAGCTGATGCAAAATGAGCTATTACTTACATTTTCTGGCACTTCAAGTGGGGGCAGCTCTGAAGAGATTTTTTTTAAAAAGGGCAAGAGCACGTAACGCAACACAACAAACAGCAGAGCTGTTCGAAAGCCAGAAAAACAGAAAAAAAGCAGGGCAAAACCCAGCAATCAGAAATAGTCCTTCCCTGTAGCTCCCTGGATGGCGTTGGACTGGCAGCTGGTAAGAGACACAGCAATAATGGCTCTTCTTCACCCTGGCAAGAGACAGCCAGAAGCAGCAGCAACCTTCATGCTTGTATCCATCCCTCACCATACAGTGGTGGGGCATGGTCCTTCTGAGGATGCACATGGTGATAAAATTGGGCATTTGAGAAGAATTTTGTGTAGAGTGAGATAAAATATGGTCCCTTGATGCATATATACTTTTCTGGGAAACACACTGGATGGGACTGCCCTCCCTCTGCCAGACAAGTCAGCGTTTCCCAAACAGGACAAAATCAAAGCAGACCCACTGCAGGGGAAGATGAGGCCTCTCAGAAGGGACTACTTGGAGTCCTTACTGGTGCTCCAAGTTGTTTCTTGCTCCCTGACCTAATTGCTCTTACCCCTGTGAAACATCTCCAAAGAGAAAAGAAGGTAAGTTATACCTGATGTCCTAAGGGTTAAACAAAACGATGGTGACATCAAGAGCAATTAACCCAAAGATGTGGTAATCTGCAATCAGCCTCTGGATGAATGCTATCAGGGCTCTAAGCTAAAGGTTACAAATCCTCTGTGAAACACCAATGACGAAAATCACCTCTAAGAAGCTCTCTTGTTGGTTTTGTGGTAGCACATACCATTTTCTAAAGAACCTTTTGTTCTTTAAAGCCTGTAAGTAGGCCCACTGGTGTTTGGAAACCGTGATTAAGACAAGTTCATTAGGTGAGCAGCTGGGCTTTTGCCTGGAGTTGCTGTGTCTTCAAACTTTGTTCTGAAAACAACAGTCAAACACACGTGCAGAATCCAAAGAACCTGAAATTAGCAGAGAATTTGTCAATTCCTCAGAGGCTGTTTTCACACTTGAAAATTTAGAGGCTGAAGGAGCCTGGTCTGACTACCTAATGAGCTCTTGAAAGTCCACGTACAAAAATCCCATTGAAGGACTTCTGATTAAGATCAAAGGTGTCCTTTAAACAACCTGACCAGCTACATCTTTATCACAGAAGTCACAAAGCTCTGGATGAGTTTAAGGATAACTACAGACATTCATCCTTGTACGTACTCGGGTTTTCTGACTTGTTCATTAAGGAGAGACTTTGTACAAAACAACCTTCAGAATTTCTCAGCCAAAACAGGTCTGGTGCTTTAAACAAGAGTAAAATAAGCCCCAGCACAATAACAATATTATTGCAGCAACCGAATTGCCGTCGTGAGCCTACGTTGGTGACGGTGTGTGAGAGCTCTCCACCCTGCATTCTCAAACACATGAAACACCTTCTCCTTTGCTCAGCCAAACAGAAAAGTCCCAGGGTCCTTCACG